TCCAAGCTTGGCACCCGTAGAGAAGGACTGATACAACCAGCGATTTGTAGATCTTGAAATTGATCTGGAAGCTGATGTTTCTCTTCCATATCTTTTCCAGCCTGGCCATCGCTGCTGTAGCTGTGGCTATCCATGTGCGGAATTTTTGCGTTTTCAGGTGCCATGTTTTGACAGGGTTACACCCAAGTGTTTGAAACTGGACACTCCCTCAAGTGGTTCACCGTCCATGGTGACGCTGGCACTCGGGCTATTTTCGTAAATGCCTCATTTTATTAGGCCGCTGATTTATTGAATTGCTGACATATATATTATAGATACATATGATAGGGAAGTAAACATATAGACCTAAATATCTGTGCATAAATGCGTACCTCTTCTCCTATGTAATAACATTTCATTGTATTTCCAGTGGTCTATTAAAGTTTATGACTTATTTGTCTTCATCATAAAACGAATATATTTCTCGTGTTTTTTTACCGATTTCAGAGAGACGATTCAGTCGATATTTAAAAAATATATATATCCGTATAGATAGTTTATTCTGTTTTATATCTATAATTGAGTTTTACCCCAGTAAAAATGAAAATAAAAAAAGGAAAATGCTTTGGCAGATCGTAAATACACTCGTTAATATAAATCTTGTCAAAATATATCACATTAATTCACAGGTCTTTCGCCAAAAAATAAAAAATAAAAAGGAAATAACGTTGCGCTAAAAACAGAAAAAAAAGGACGACGATCTTAATAGCGGATTACGACACAAACGCACTAGCTCCGACATCACTGAATAATTTTACGCCATAATCAAGGCTTTTCTTTCGCAAGAAACTCGTTGCAAATGTCCACTTTTCTGATGTCTATGAGGTCTACGTTACGTTTACGTTCACCAAGGCTTACCATCTTCCCCCCACCCATTTTCTGCTTTTTAATAACGATCTATCTATGAATATTCTCATATAATTAGAAAACATTTATGAAAACCATACCACTGTATACTAGTACATTTCTAAAGCAAATGATAATCACAGTTTTGTAGCTGGTCTCACCTGAAGAAGGCCAGAGATCAGAATAGTCTAAAAAGAAAAATAACAAAGATGATGATGATAGACATTCTGTTGGTTGACTGGTTCTTTGTCTACGGCTTATCAAATCATTGCAGCTTATTTAAAGCCAGCAATCTTTTTAGACTGTATGAATTTTTGGAGATATAATAATGGTTTAGTGATACAAGTCTTTATTTTTTAATCATATCACCCCAAAGCAAGGCAATGAAGACACTAAGACAAAAAGGGTTACTGTTAGAGAATATGGGAAAATTAGATGCTATTAAATAGGTAGAACAATAAAAGAACAGGTGTTAAAATCGAAGATAGCGGTTAACATTGTATTAGGTTGGTGCAAAAATAATGACATAATAATGTCCTTTTTTGACGTATTTTTTAACCTAAAAAAAACGACATTATTACGTCATTATTTTTGCACCAACCTAATATTTAAATTTTTGAAGTTCAAAGTTGATTGGAAAGAAAGTAGACGGAAAAGAGTTCCACAAAAGAGAAGTGCGATAAAAGAATCTGTTAGCACATAACTTACGGTTACATCTAGCCATTTCTATTATAAAATGATGAGACCTAACCGCCAATCTAGTACTGCGATTAAAAAATTAAATTCTAGGTACTTTTGAGGGAAATTCATCAGAACCATTACCATGAAAGTATTTATAGAAAAGATACAGGGAAGCTACGTGACAGCAGTGGGAAAGTGACTGAAGCCAAGATGCCAAGTCACGACAAATAACATTGCTGATTCTTCTTTGGATTTTATCCCCAAAAAAAACTCTGAATGTATAGCAGGAGCACCAGACTAAACTATTAGGCTGGTGCAAAAATAATGACGTAATAATGTCGTTTTTTGACGTTAAAAATTAGGTCAAAGAACGACATTGCCACGTCATTATTTTTGCACCAACCTAATAATTATCGCATAGCTGTTGAGTAGAGGTGGATTCGCACGTTCCCCAAGGATGATCGGCTTAAGTGAATATACCGAAATCACCAGGAATTGGAACTCAGATCTCCGATTCAAAATCCTGAGGTCTTGTCTATTGCACCACCCGCACATCTAAAACAAAGTCAATATTCTAAAAATCATATCACGTCAGGATGTCGGCGATTGTCACTCTCCGTTCTTCTTCAGAACACAGGCGATCATGGCCTTCCACAACTTGTATCTCGTGTAGTTCTTAGCATTTCTTTCTTCGTTTGCTAAGACCATCACTGCTCTTTTCTGCCATCCATTCGGACAAGATCGTCTCTGGTTCTCAATATGCCCCGCGAAAGTTGTTTTTTAAGCCCTCCTTCCTCCTTATATACCAAAGGGATTTCAGTGGTCTTTTTTTTTGTTCCTCTGAATAGGTGTTCTCTCTGATAATATTTTTAAAGATTTCCTTGCTGCTTACTGGTTTTGTCCATCGAATTCTCAGTATCCTTCTGTAGAACCACATTTCTGCTGCTTCGGGTTTTTTTTTCTCATCTAAGGCGCGATTGTCCAACATTCTCTGCTATATAAGAGAATGGATATCACATAGGAAATTCAGTCCTGTTTTTAATGATATTTTTTCCGTTTCTCTATATCTTGCTTAGCATTTGGAATGATTCTTTCGCTAATTCATTGCGTGTTTGGATAGCATTGTTACATTTTCCACCCTCTGTTAGAACACTTCTCAGATATTTGAACATCTTGATGTTTACATCTCCAATTCATAACTTGCACCTTGGGGCTTTCTTTCTTGCTAATCAATATACAGGGTGTTTCAAAAAATTTGATATCATTTCGCAATCAAATAACTTTGTTAGATCTCCTTCAAATGACTTCAAATTTTCATAGCATCTTTATGTTTAATGTTTGTTTTATGTTTTTATGTCTTCATGTTTTTGTGTTTTTCTTATTTGTATTTTTATGTTTTTAATCTTTAATCTTTTTCTTTACAGGTATAAAAATGCTATTTACTAGAAGAGAAAAGGCGTTTTGTAGGTGTTCACATAATCCACATGCTTTTGAATTTCTCATTCAGATTTGGAAGAATAAATCTTATGATCTTCAACATTAATACTTTTTAATTCCATTTGCCTTAATCATGTACTTTCTGTGATATTTACATCTCAAAGGATATCAAATTTTTTGAAACACCCTGTACTTTCCATTTCCATGCAGTTGATGGTTAGTCCTTCTTTCTTGCTTTCTTCTAAGATCCTGTCTAGGAGGTCCCGTAGTTTTCCTTTCAGAATTGGTTATCAACAGTTTCATCTGCGCTTCTTATATTTTTAAGAATACGCCACCGATAGTAAAACCTGGTGGGTCTCCAATTCTCTTTGGACCGCGTTGCTGCAGAGCAGTCGTTCCCAAACGTTGCAACGTATCTTATAGGTGTCGTGGAAGAGGTTAGCAGATGATGCAGAATGATTGAAAGGCAATCAATGATTTAGGAACGGTTTCAAATATTTATATGCTCAAAATAAATATTATGTCAAAATGTTAAATATTATTATGGATTACTTATAATTGCATGCATGAGTCCCAGTATAAATAGTTATAATTATTGAGTGATTTTATAATTGTGATATTTTTGCATTATATCTAGTATTAAGAATATAGTAACTAAGGTCTGCAAATTGGAGGAGAGAGTTATCAATGATAATGTTCGAATGCGTGGTTATATCCTTTAACCAGCTCTCCAAGTTCTTGCATATTTAAATGCACTTTTTTTAATCATATAAAATTTCGTGCGTTGCGAGAATACTAAAAAAAAAGTTTGGGAAGCTCTATTGTCGAGGTTAAATAAGTCTGGCGAGAAGAAGCATTCTTGTCTCACGCCCTTCTTTATTTTTGTAAATTTATCTACTCTCCGTATGGAGTCGTTTTCCGCCCAGTATAAGTTCTGGATTATTGAAGATATTTTCCAAATAGATCGAGTTTTCCAAGTATTTCAAATATATCCTTGGGTCGTTTGTTGTCAAATAGTTTTGTGTAATGTTTATTCTCCATGGATTTTATTTTATCATCTGTAAATTGCCAAGAATGTTTTGGAAATGTATTGGAATTTGTATCTTTTTTTTTTCATTCTTCACAGTTTGAATTATAGTGTTTATCTTTCCTTAGTGTTTTTGTCACACAAGTCAAGAGAAATCCCGAGAAATGTCTTAATCATTTCATTCCAAGCAAGGCGATAAAGCCTCTAATACGTAATGTGTGAAAAAATATGAGGAAAAGAAAAATATTATTGAAGAAAGAGAACAATAAAAAAAAAGAGAAATTAAGAAGACGGAAGATAATGATTGACATTGCATTTAATTTTCTGAAGAATAAAGTTTTGTTTTTTTTTCATCTCATCTTTCCTATTTTTATCCCATTTTCCACCAGCCAATATTCCCCATCTTTGTATATTTCTCTTAATAATAATTAAAAACTCATTCAGCAGACAATGTTATTTTATTTATGGTCACTGGATTTTTGGTGACTACTTTATTCTCTTTCTGTCATTTCATACCGAGCATCTCAAAAATGGCAGAATTTAACGCGACCGCCATTGCCTCTTGGCCTTTTGACTGGGATCAATATTTAGTATCTGCGCTTGCGCAAATAAGTGTCTGTTTTCGGATAGAATTTTCAGTTTTTATTCGAAAACCTTACAATAGTAATAATTTAATTAGGTATTTACTAATATATATTCATTCTTTCTTTTCAACGGCCATATATATTCCTTCTTTAGGTATTTACTAAGATAATATATTTTCCTTCTTTCTTTTCAACGGTTATATATATTCCTTCTTTCCTTATTACAGTAATATATTTTCATTCTTTGTTTACTGGGGTATTATATATTCCATCTTTCTTTAATACTGTGATATATATTCCTTACTTACCTATTATTGTAATATATTTTGATTCTTTCTTTATTACGGTAATACATATTTCATTGTTTTTCTTTCATTACTAATTAATTAATAAATAGATAGATAGATAGATAGATAGATAGATAGATAGATAGATAGATAGATAGATAGATAGATAGATAGATGCGGTGGCGTAATGGATAGCGGCTTGAATTGAGGAATCGGAGTTCGAATTTCAGTCGAATCCATTACATTCACTTACGTGCTAATACCCTTGAGAAAGGTTAAAATCCTCCTCCTCTTCTCCCTCCAGCTATGGGTAAATAGCAGGACAGACTGTGTTCTATAGCCTTCGATGGCAACTGGTCTAGGAGAAGGACAACTCTGAATTCAAAGTCTGCGGAGGGTCGTTTGGGAACCTTGTGGCATATTAGTGCACCACGTCTCTGAATTCGGCCCTTCAAAAAGTGTAGATGGTCCTGCACGAAACCTTCACCACTATAATCAAATCTCATGAGCTGTTTCTAAGAACCGATCCGCTTGACCCTCATACGTCGAATACGACAGGAGAGTCGCCTATATATATATATATATATATATATATATATATATATATATATATATATATATATATATATATATATATATATATATATACGTCATTATATATATATATATATATATATATATATATATATATATATATATATATATATATATATATATATATATATATGTGTGTGTGTGTGTGTGTGTGTGTGTGTGTGTGTGTGTAAATATAACAGTGAACATAGAAGTCAACACTTCGAGGCAACAGTCTGTTTCATGCGAGATGCAATCGTCAGGCCTGACGATTGTATCTTCTTCTTCTTCTTCTTCTTCTTCTTCTTCTTCTTCTTCATAACGCGTCCGTTCAGTGCATGAATAATCATGATCCTCCACAACTTCCTATCATCTTAGCAATGTTTGACTTTATTTTTTCTTAGTCATTTCACCCCCAACAAGGCAGGAATGTCACTAGTACGTCTGGGTTACTGGGAGTGAAAATGAGAGAATAGACTGAATATATGGAGGAATGAGGCAAAGACAAAAGATGAACGGGATGCAAGAAGATATATAATGACGATTGACGTTGCATTTAATTTTTTGAAGTTCTGTAGTTATCAGGGAAGCAAGGAAACGGAAGTGAGTTCCACAAGGGGTGAAGTTCGAGAAAAGGAACTGCTGGAGTAGAAGTGGCTTTTTGTATTCTCTCCTATTCCCTGATAGTTTGGGATCAGATTAATAACATTCCTCCTTTCTTTTATTACTATTGTTCACCCATTGCAAGGCCCAAGTGGCACTTAAGCCAGAGCTTTATTTAATTAGGCTACTCTATGATCGTAAGTGACGAATGAAAAAGTGTAGATTATTATATGCAGGAAAATTAACAGGCTTGAAGATATTATTGCGGAAGTATCCTCTTGGGAGTATGTTCCCTAAATTAAAATTTCCAGGGCAAAGGTGGTTCTTTTTCCTTACCAATGGAATACAAATGGAATGAGGAAGAATCGAATAAGTCTCCTTGCGGTTACTGTAAATGTGGTTCGCCCGAATATCTCCAATGGAAATAGCGATAGTGAGATACTTGCAACGTTTCGACTGTGATAAAGTCTTTGTAGAGTGGAAAACTATTCATCACCCCACCGAGAATGTTAAAGGCCGTTAAAGTCTGAACAAACTGGAAAGTGAGGATTGGGCCCCTTCAGCTCACATAAAGTAGAAATACTCTATTTTTGGCCTGTTCTGGCTCTTGTAAAGATAGAGCATGCCAAGAGGAATCTGATATTTACTGGAGCGTTACAGAGAATAAGATCAATTGACCCTATATAGGAGTTCCCCTTGAGGTCGAGGGTATGCTTAAGTCCCAGTAGGAATTCAAGGAAAGAGGTCCCCTTGAGTAATAACCAGTTCGCTACGTGGGGTGTAAATTCAAGGGTGGCTTTGTGATGATGATACGTCACGAATTTACATAATTTTTTCTTTTAGCGATTGAATGTGTTCAACCATTTCTCCTTCACTCCATACAAGTTGGAATAGTTCAGCGGCCAGGTTCTAGCCATCGGGATTTTTTGACGCTGCGCCCACATCATTGTATCATCTGCATACATATTCACAGCAGTACCCCCCTCCTCCATGGAGTTAAAAAGAATTCTTACGATCGTGGCATTATAGAGTGCGTTGCAGAAGTTAATCACGTTTTCTTCGGTGCATTGCGATGCTAGTTTATAAACATATGCTGGCAATATGCAATGGCTTCCTTTTCAATTTCCCTCTGAGATCTCAGGGGGTATGTCTTCTAGTCGTTTTTTCCCCAATATTAGTTCTATGCGTCTTTCATTTCCTTCTCTGCCTGCAAATACGACTCCGTGGCCGTCACTTGTAAAGTCAACATTGTTTATATATATATATATATATATATATATATATATATATATATATATATATATGTGTGTGTGTGTGTGTGTGTGTGTGTGTGTGTGTGTGTAAATTCCCAAGAAGATAGGATCCAGGTAGAACTCATTTGTCCAGGACAGAGCAAGAATATAATATAAAATGTTGAAACAGTAATATTCCATATATATATATATATATATATATATATATATATATATATATATATATATATATTTATATATATATATTTTCCAAATTTTCCATTCAATATAAACATCTCCTCTCTAATTATCTATTAGGTTGGTGGAAAAATAATTACGTAATAATGTCGTTTTTGACGTATTTTTAACGACATTATTACGTCATTATTTTTGCACCAACCTAATAACTTTCCATCGTTGAGTAAGAAGTTGCCTCACAGATTTCACGTACGATTTCATTTTCATTTTCAATGCTCTTTTGAATTGTCAGAGCTGAATTTTCTCTCTCACGTGTGAAAAGTCTTATGGATTGAGTTGGATCTTTTCTAATTGATCTCTTTCGCTCTACGTTGAAATGATGAGCCCTCTTTTTGTTGTGACTTCCTGATGCAGTTTTTTCACCTCACTGTTCCCTCTTGTGTGTGTTTGTCTTTTTATAATACGCTATTTTAATTGAAACTCTTGTCCTCCTCTTCCTATTCATTGTCAAAACGTCTTGGCCAATGAGCCCTCCAGCCATCTTCACTTTGCACGGAACACATGGACATGTCATTAATAGAGTCGTTTAAAAGGCAATAAGTTATTCGGCCTCCGTGAGATCAATCTCTGGATTACATAGTGCCATTTTTTTTTAATTTTTTCATACAAAGAAAAAAACCTAGCGTTGCTTCACGAATATATGAAACAATTAACAGAGGAATTAAAAAAAATCAACAACCCTCTTGGATTAATGATACTGTTTGATAGGACATTCCCAGAAAGTTCTAAAGTAGAATAGAACATTTTTCTTTTTTTTTCTTAATAATCCTTCATAAACAAAAGGCACAACGGTGAAGAGAGATGTTTATTACATGGGGTCGTTGCGTAAGGGTAAGATGTGAAAATTATGAGGATATGTAGGATAGATAACATTTGAAACTCGACTTGAAGAGGTTAGAACTGTAGCAATGGGGGAAGCATCTACTCAGAAGTCTGTTTCACAAAGTAGACGTTGTCGAGGTTATTTTTTTTCAAATTGATCTTCCTCCTTACTAATGGAATACGAAGGGGACGTGGATGATTCGTCCTAGTGTAGCGGGTCTTAGCTGTGAAAGTCTGAACTAGCGATCAATAACTGAACTGAAGTAAATAAAAAATAAGTAGAAGACGATATCCCTAGACATAAGCACCAGACCCAGAACAGACACATCCCGTAGATTAAATAAAGGGATCAGTTCAGAATTCCCGGTAGGTTATCGAGGTTGATATTCACCTGAGGAAGGCCGGAGAGCAGAACAACCGAAACATTGTGATGACGAGAATAGTCCGAATATAAATAAACTAAATAATGATAACTCTTCATCCCATAATTTCAGACAGTATTATAATATAGTGAATATTGTTTAAATGTTTTTTCGTCACGAATGAAGACTGAATAGAGAAGGCCGAAGAAAATAAGGGCCGAAAGATGAAGAAGACCAAAGATAGATGAAGGGAAGAAACGACAAAGAAGGTTTTAGATTAATAGAAAATGAAATGCGAAGAGACAAGCATCACTATATTCCCAGAAAATGTAAAGCTAGTGAATTAAAATTAAATATTATAACGATACACTCTGAAACTGACGGGTCATAGACAGAAACAATGTTATAAAAACAAAATAAATATATAGTAATAACGGTAACAATGTTAGAATAGTCCTTATAAATCAATGTATTAAGGTGCCCAGAATGTTCACAAACAATAAATCTTGATCTCTGTCTGGTGGAATTTCCAAGGAATACTGCATTTCAAGCTTGTTCCACAGGGTCGGGACATCAATGCCAAACGGTATTACCAGCATCTCGATCGCGTGTACGACAAACTAAAGAAGGAGTATCCACCTTTGGTCAATCAAGTCCAAGTCTTATTTCTGCAAGACAATGCGAAGCTACACACTTCGAAGTTGACTAAAGTGAAGTTCAAACAGATGTACGGTGTTGATATTCTCCCACATCCACCATTTAGTCACGATGCTGCTCAGAGTGACTATGGCCTATTCTGCTCAATGGCACACTTCCTACGGGACCAGCGATTCAACCCTTTTCATGACGCTACTTAACAGTTATTTTATTCAAAGCCCGCGGACAGGTACCAGGGACAGATTCAGATATTGGCTGATTGTTGACAGAAGATTGCCAAGAATGATGGACTTTATTTTGAAGAATAAATGTTGGTGTTGCTCCATAACATTTTGTCGCTTTCTTTCCGCTTAAGTGAGTCAGGACTTTCTAACGAACTCAATATAATAGTAAATGTGAAATTTCGTATATTCCGGAAGCTCTTCGCCTTTTGGATTAAGGTTTTACAGTAAGGCACAATGTAAAAATAAGAAAAAAAAAATTGAAACTGTCAACATCCCTATTATAAATCTGTATATCCCTCCTCTCTTTACTTAGTGCACACGATCTTTACTTCCTGCCAACACCTCATAATTTTTTTTTTTAAGCGTTTCACCCCAAGCAAGGCGGGGAGCCACTAGGACGCAAGGGGTTACAGAAGATTTGGAGCCAGATCAGATAGGAGTGATAGAAGAAAGGATGAGGAGAAGGGCAGTGCGAATTTAAAGGACTATTCTGTTTTGACCACGTGAAAACACGAAAAGGACAGAGCAGGAAGACTGTAGTGAGAAAGAAAGAAAGAAAGAAAGAAAGAAAGAAAGAAAGAAAGAAAGAAAGAAAGAAAGAAAGAAAGAAAGAAATAACGAAAGAAAGAAATAAAAAAATAAAGAAAGAAAGAAAGAAAGTAATAAATAAATAAATAAAGAAAGAAATAAAGAAATAAAGACAGAAATAAAGAAAGAAATAAATAAAGAAAGAAAGAAAGTAAGAAATAAAAAAAGAAAGAAAGAAATAAAGAAAGAAAGAAATAAAGAAAGAAAGAAAGATTAAAGTGTCTAATGGCTATTTCAGCAAAATGGAACAAGTTGTTAATTTCTAATCTTTTCATTTGTACCTCCTTACTTCTTAATCTAACGACTAGCATTCATATTTATGATTGTTATTCCAATATTTTGATAAAATTGTTAAGCTCAAATATTTAACGATATAAGAGGAGAAATTATTTTTTTCCGAAGCATTGTTATTATAAGTCTGTTTGTCCTTCCATACGTTAGTTCACACGCCAGTTACGAACTGCCAATACCTCATAAATAATGGACTATTCCGTTTTGACCGCGTGAAACCACAGAACTGGCATGTCAGAGAGGCTACTTGGTTTCAACGAGAAAATGAAAGAATGAAAGAAAGAAAAAGAAAAGAACTGAAAATAGAATTGCTTAACGTCTGTTTTTAGTTAGATAGAAATAGGTGCTAATATCATTTTTTTTTCATTTGGACACCATTGCTTATAAAAAGATTTATTAATAAAACATTTCGCAATAGGAATTTTCGGCTTGTACTCTCACCTTCATAGTTGCTTTTCACATATTCTCTAACACTCAGCAACCACTTTACGTTCTTGAGGTTTAATTGCCTTCCTTGAAGATGAAAGGATTAAAATAAAGAAATCTTGATTTGATAAGCTGTGGTTCATACACTTTGAGGCGCAAAATTCACTAAGAGTAGTGGGTTACGGAATATCATTGTTTAATGGTCGAAAGGTTTGTAGATAAGGATATGTTGAATAGATAAAAATTGACTTTTAAATTTGAATATGTTAAGATTTTAGTGATCGGATCAGCATTCTTTTAAGAATCTGTTCCATAAAATAACGGATCCTGGGAAGAATAGGCCCTAAAAGAAATTGTCTCTCACTATTAGAATACAAGGAGAATGAAGCTAGTCTCGCTAGATCAATTACTACTTAATAGTGAGTTCGATCCGCCGTGGGTAACCCATACATTCGGCCTTGTTCCATATCTAAGGTACTCGTATACCATCACCATACAGTTCAATTCATAATAGTAACAGTACGTTGCATTGTACATTCAGACTTAGATCATAATGGCTGAATTTTAAGAACAACGGCAAATACGAAAAAGTCATATTTACAAAATCAATGTATAATAGCAATAAATGCCCAAAATAATTGAATTTTGTGTATTGTAAGTTTGTTCTTTTGTTTACTCACATTCAAAAATTCTAAGAAACGTAGTAGAATGAATAAAGAGATGTTTGATTTTGTTTCTCATCGAAAACATATATTCTTTCTTGATTAAAACAGAAGTTGGTTCGACATTTCTTCTTTTGTCAAAGAAGAAGAAAAAGTAGAACAAAAAAAGATGGTGGTTCTTTTATTTCATTGTTTTGCGTATTGGGGACAAAAATGTCTCACAGACTCATAGCAATCACGCAAGTATAATGGGCACCTGCCTCTGCTAAGAAAACAACACAAGAAGAATCTGATGAAAAAAAATCTGTCATTGTATAAAAAGTTCTGAACTAATTATATCTCCTTCGAAGACTTGTTCCCACAAAATAAACAACACAAATGATAAGTCGACTTTGTTCGTATCACTTTTGGCATGATAATAACCCTTCACAATATATATATATATATATATATATATATATATATATATATATATATATATATATATATATATATTCTCTATTTTAGCAGCAATCCTCTTTCCTGCAAGTTTCGTTAAATAAAAAAACACTGACAAGTTGCTGTGGTTAATTTTTTATATAATTTTCCATGTGTTCACATGATTTTGTTTTTCTTTTCAGCACAAAATATATAAAAAATATTCTATATATCCAAGCGTTAACGGCCATTTTTTTAGCGATTATCAAAGATAAATTTTATTTTCCTTTTGTCTGAATATATGTATTGTTTTATATATGTATCTAGAGTTATAGAAATGTTTTACTTTCCAAACACTGTCAGCACACTGTGACCGTGTTCATAGTTGATATTACTGAATATTGGCTTTTGCTTTTTTTATTTATTAATTTTATGATAATGACTTCATCATTTTTAGCCTTTATTTACATGTGGATAATGCATTGTATCTATCTTATCAATGTGTCGACCGTCTTTGGAAAATAAAATAATGTTTGGGTTGAAATGATTGATATATTTGTAAAAACAGAAAAAATGGCACAAGGCGAAAAGTGGGGATGTGGGAGGCTGGTCTTCATCTGTCATATCTTAAAAACTTACGTAAACAAAATCACTGACCAAAAAGATCTATGCAATATTCTTTGCACCAGAATACCACATTCTTACTTACCAAGCTTACTACAATCACCATAATACCTCAAAGTCTCTACGAAAGCCTAACTAGTTCCATATGTACAATTTGCCTGTAGGAAGTGGCGATAAGTAACAACTTTTAAAAATGAAATACCCAATGAATATTTATACGATGCATAAAATTAGATATACAAGAAAATAAACATTCTGTTAGTAATTAAAAGCCCCCACATTCCTTAATTTTGGCAGGCGTATTATTTAACTGTACGAGATTTAGGCGAAACTTTGATGAATTAAAACCAGTCATTCGATCAACCATGCACACAATTACCCACTCATTCAGACACGATAACCAATCGGCAAACAAAATCTACCAGGGAACTAACGGCTGAGGAGACAGGAAATTAAACTAATGGATGTGGGGGCCAATCAAAGGGGCCAATGAGAATACATCCTCGAGCTAAGTTAAACTGGTGTAAAAACCAAAAGCAAAACAAACCTAAACTCACCTATTTTGGCCGGGGTTGCTAATATTAAATACAGGGCTCCCAATATCCTGATGACTAAGGGACTTCAAAATACCAATCTAAATTGGCCCCTTTCATTCGTCAGATACGCTCAAGACTCGCCCACCGTTTGCCAAATTCGGATGAAGGCAGTCGTCACTTTTCCATACTTATCTTTACTTTAAACTGATGCCTAAAGAAGATCTGTTGAGGACAGTACCACTAGCTTCAAGGACAAAGAACATTCCGCCCAGCATGCGAACCATGATGTCTTCAATATACTTGCACAACGGGACTACGACCTTGCAATAGAAGAAGGATATCCACCGACTCACCAAAGGGGTCGCAGCTGAGAGAATCTCCTAATACCCCCTGAAGAAAGTTTTTACTGACCCAGAGGGCACTTCACATCACCAGCCAGGTAAGTGATTCTTTTTCCTTTGTGAGGCATTTCAACCCAGGTCATATTAGAGCGAGCAACTTGCTTCGTTACACCGAGTTCGTCAATCAAACAATTTTAATCGGACCCCTACATTAATACCTGATATCGGGAAATCGCCTGGACGTCCGAGAGGCCATTCGTCGCCCGTAAGAAGCACTTGAGAGCTAACCCTTTTATTTATTATTGATTATATGATATTTTCTGCTGCGTTATCTTGTGTTTATCTGTGCGTACCTGGTTTGTTTATGTTGTAGAGTAGTTTTCACAGTGGAGGCTTGTATTTCACTAAGTCGGTCCTAAATTAGGTTCGACGTACAAAACGTTAGGAACTTGCAATAATAGTTAATGACGCAGCAATCTAGTTGTGGGGCTCATACTTTAATGTCCAACATCGACTGACTCACACAACTCACTGAGCGATATTCAGTTACAAGGCCGGTTTAACGTAGAATCTCCGAGCCCGTGGGCTCGGCCAAAAATATGCCCTTTTAAAAACCGTATAAACGGGTTCAGGTTCGGTTTACCTCCCCGAAAGAGACTCCGCCCTTCGGCGTAGCACCGTTCGAGTTCCTCCCCGCCCGAAGGCAGAATGTTCAACCGTTCAGCTGGTGGTCCGACTTCAGACCAACTCACTGAGCTCCACTGGCGACTGCTACTACTACTACTTATTATCTGTGGGAAAGTCTATTTACAATAGAAATAGGTACGTTCCGGTATAATAGTTTATCACTTAATTAATTTATTTACTTATTTATTTGTTTGGAATAATTTATTTTACTTGTTTTGTTTTTTTATTTATTTTATTTTATTTATATATTTTCTTTTATTCTTGTTCGTCTTATATTTTCGATTTTTTTAAGTAACACAGTAAAAATTGTTTTCCTGACTGCATTTTGTGATGAGTTCTAATCATTAATTTAGTAGTTTGTTTTGCATCACTGACCTGGATATATAAATAGTCGAGGAAAATCGCAACGCACGTGGCCTGACGATTGTTTTTACAATGAAACAGACTGTCACCTTTGGGTGTAGTGACCTTAAACATAGCAGTAGTAGCACCTCTAGAATATAAAAACACGTGAACCCTAACGTAACTTTCTCTCTACAAGGTTTCCTCTTTCGAACTGGAGTCCTGAACTTTCCACGGTAAAATGGTTGCGAACGAATCACATGGAAACACACAAAGTTATCAGTACAATATATTGATGAACAATTCGTTTTGTATAAAATTTAAGTCTAACAGACGAAACACGTGTTTTAAATATTTCTTTTCTTAATTTGTCTAATAAAACATTCCCTAACAAATCTTACACATTTAATTATTGAAGAAGCTAATGAATAAATGATGTTGATCACAATGTTCACTTTTATAATTACTTGCGATCTATCTCTGTTACTGAGAAAATTAACCTATAAATAACACATACCTAAAAACAATATTTTATCATATATATATATATATATATATATATATATATATATACAGAGAGAGAGAGAGAAAGAGGCAACTGGAAGTCACACTGAAGAGCTGCGATACAACGAAACAGTCTATCTGTGGATGACAAAATATATGCTCCAGAAAAATTATTTCCGTTGAGCTCTCTGGGAAAAATGTGTGAGTTGGTAAACAGTGACTATTACTGCTACTAACGCAATAAACGTCGATAAAACGAATCGAGTTCTCTCAGTCACAGTATTGTTTATCTAAAAACAAATTCGTTTAAATTCACCTTCATTCCTTTCATGCACCAACGTCTTAGAGGTAGACACTATGAAATGGACTATATATGCATTACTCTTAAAGTATGAATTG